CACGCACGCACGCACGCACGCACGCACGCACGCACGCACGCACGCACGCACGCACGCACGCACGCACGCACGCACGCCTGAAATGGTTCTGGTTTATACCTGTTGTCTTGCCTTACTCATTAGTGAGTGTTGACCCTAGGTATCCCAATAACGAAAGAGACACTGCATAGTTAACCTAGTAACATTTCACCTTCTTCTTCCATAACTAATAAACAAAGAGTGGAAACAGTGTTCTAGATGAGTGCTCTGCGCAAGTCCTGACAGGATTTCAGAAGGTGTGTTGTAGAGACTGTTTGCATCTGTGTGGCCACCATCCTGTCCAGAGCAGGAGGGGAAGCCCTAAGCCAATTCCAGGCTCCTCACGGCTGGCACTGCCATACAGTAGCTAGAGGGGAAGGTGAGGCCTCAGTGAAAAGGACCCCAGGGGACACTTGTGGGGAAGCCATTGACAGATCAAATGAGACACATTTGTTTGTTCTGCGATATCAATTCCCATTGTGAAATGATCGGTATCTGAGGTGGCTAAGCAGGGGGCTGGGGTGAAGGGAGGTCACAGGGTGAAGGCAGCCTTGTGCTTGTGTCTCTCTGCACACTCTGTATCAGGATGCTCAGCCGCAGAGGGCTCTCGCTGAAGCAGACACTGAGTGAATGCCTTGCCTCTTTCTGGCCTGCCATTCATACACACACACTAACATCTCTAACCCAAGATCTGAGCTCTGAGTTGCTCTAAGGTCTGAAACCTCAAATGTCCACATGATGTCACATGTCAACCCCCACACTTGACCTTGGGTGGCTGGTCACATTCAAAACATAGGCATGTTGCTAATTAGTAGAAAATTAAAACTTTAAAAATCCCATAAGAATCATCTTTAAACCATGCATATTAGATACACAAAACAAATGAATTTCATGAATAGCCTTGGGTCCCATCCTGAAATATATATTTATGGAAATATAATAAAACCTGAAATGCAAACCACTTCTGATTCCAAACATTTTGGTAAGTAATACTCAGCTTTTACCTACAAACACACACTCAAGCCAAATCAGTAGCAAACGTAAGTAGTCTTGGGCCAACATAATTCTGTGTGTCCTTAACTGCGTTTAAAATTTGGTGTGTGTGATTTCATCTTACAGAGATTTTTCTTTGGGGCCAGGTCTCTCCATATTTCAGCATATATTACTATATCCTCACCTGCCATCAGCTGATCTAGTGCCTTCACAAATAGCACTGTTTTAATTCTTGAGACACTGTGTGCTGAACTTGGTTAGGTTTTTTCTCTTCTTTACTTTTCTTTTTGAGAAGGAATGAAAGAGGCTGGAGGTGGGGAGGGCAAGCCACTATTCTGGAAGTATGAAACAGGAGGTAGCTTGTTCCTGTCACCCCTGTGTCTCACATGGCTCCTTCCGTTGACACCACCTGGTAGAGATGGTGTCGCCTGTCCATCTAAGACTGGCAGGGTTTCTAAACAGACAATGCGGTAGCGAAGAGCCCCTCAGATCTTGCCTCCTGACCAATAGCATCAAGGAATGGTCTCTGTGGATGCCCTTGATACTTTTAAGAGCTGGTTCTGAAGTGTATCTACATGATCTGCAGGGTTATGAAGCCCTTGACCTCGGCCTCATTAGCTCTGTTCTCTTAGTGGTTGAGTTCACCACTGACATCACAGAGCATGCATGCACAGCTCATCAGGCTGCATGATGGGACACACCTCCACTTACTTGGTTTGAGGCTAAGTTTCAGAGTCAGCCAGCTTTCTCTAGGAAAGATTAGCCCCTGCACAGAACAACAACAACAACAACAACAACAACACACGCACACACCTACTTCTGAGCAAGTAGGAAGGAACCACGTGCCTTCAACCACATTTAAGAAGAAAATGGGGACAGAAATTCCAAATGAAAAATAAATAATTTTAAATAGCAAGAGAAAGAAGGAGGGGGACCCCATCCCATACACTGTGCGTCTGAAGAGCCAGGCTGACAACACAATGCCCATCTTACTGTCAAGCTTCAGTGAGCCCACCTCCTCTTCTCTGGAGTGGCTCTTGGTTATTATGCAAACCGGAAATGAGAAAGGCCAGAAGAGCAGAGGAACATCAAATCCGAATTGAGGGGAAGGGACAGTTGCTAAATTTAGCCTGGGTTACTGAAGGAGAGGAGAAGATGGAAGTGGGAGCATGCCAGAAATGCTGGCGTATTCTCTATCTCACACGCTGGAGAGGACCTGCTGAGAGACAAGCCCCCCGCCCCCACCTGGAGTCAGGCTCTTTTTTGTAAAGTGTTAATTAAGAGAATACCAACCGTAAGTTTTTAACTGTTTGACTGCAAAAGAAGAGTAGCAGTCCTGTGTTTGGGAATGATTCACTAGTCAACAAAATTTCCTAAGGAATAGGATCTTGAAAGTGACTTTTAAAGAAAAGCCCCTACTGTGGTGTTCACATATCTGCATACTGGCTGCCTGTTGGACTGGGAGGGAGAGATGGCTTGATGGCCCTGGGAGATGTGATTCTGCTCAAACGCTAACACACAACCCACTGTCCAGTGGCATTGTGCACAAAATCACATTTTATAGCCCTACACCCAACACCTGCTTGACCAAGACCCTACAGTTTTTGGTCTTGAGCCGTCTACTGATGCTTTTCTGGCCGTGTGGGTCCCACAAGGAACAGCAACTATGAGAGGAGTCTCCATATTGAGCTCACTCCAGCAAACAGTCTTTGATGCATGATGGAGAAAGCCCCTACCCAACCCCAACTTCCCTCAGCTTTGATGAACACCTTCCTCAAACATCTTCAATGAACAACTTGCTGTTACTTCTCTCCATAGCCACAGAATCTCAATTCTCCACACTCTGGTTCCGGGCTAACCCCCGTGGATTAGTTCTACAGTGGAAAACGTTCATGATTGCTGAAGCAGGGTGATAGATGGTTTACACAGCTTTATTTATTTTATTCTATATGGATTACATATATTTGAAAATGTTTATGATGAACGTGTTTGCCAATCAAGTCATCTTACTGCTCCCTTACTCCAAGGCCTTGCCCTACCTAACTGGAATGTTTGCTGTTTATCAGAACCATCAAGGACTCGGCCAGACTCCTCCTTTTATAAAGGTGAACTTGCCAGCTGTACCCGGGTGTCATCTCCCCTTATGCTACACCCCCTGTGTATATTATTGTAACCAGTGCTTACACTCCAGAGAGCTAATGGGATTATGCCTTCCTCATCCAGGCAACTCCCCCGGTGTATGCACACTGTAGGCACTCAACCCATGCTTCCTGAATGAAGAACAAATTTACAGCAGTAGAAACAGCTTATCAGCTAACTATTCAACCCCTTAGTGTGTCTAAGCCACAGGCAAGCAAAGAGAAGTGTCTCCCAGTACCTTCTTCATGGTTCTGATGCAGTAGGACTTCTGGCTTCGTGTGGATAGAGTTCCCAGGGTGGAAGAATGGCGAGAAGAGAATTCGAGGTTTCCTCTGCTTCAGAATATGCTGAAGGAGTTCATAGAGCACATCGCCTGGAGGGAAAACGGAACAAGAAACACAGAGATGGGATGTTTTAGCTAATAGCTACAGAAGGAGCTGTGGAGCTGTGACAGCCACAGAGGAAGGAAATAATTTACAGAACAGATTGTTGACCCATGACAGGGACGAGGCACAACATACCAGGGTTGTGTGGTTTTTAAAGATTATTATTATATTATTTAGTTTGTTTGATTTATGTGTATGTGTCTGCGCCATGTGCATGTGGGTCCTGAAGAGGCCAGCAGAGGGTGCTGTCAAGTAAGCGATGCTGCATGGAACACTTACAGTTTGCTAAGTGGAAAGATGTTGGGGAAAATGTTCTTGTAACTAAACTAATAATAATAATAATAAAGATGGTAAGAGAAAATTTGAGGTGGTGGATATGGACATTACATTTATTATGGTGATGATCTCATGGATATATAGTTATCTTCAAACTGATCAAATTATATAGTTTATATAGCTCTTGTAGGTTTGTCAGATCTCTACAAAGTTGTTTCTAAATGCTAAAAACAAGAGCAGGTCATTGTGGTGCACATGTTTGATCCCAGGACTTGGGAGGTAGAGGCAGGAGCTGCAGGTGGCCCAGGCCATCCTGAGGACAGCCTGGGCTACCCTGTCTCAAACAACAGCAACAACAACAACAACAGCAACAACAACAACAACAAAAGTAAACGTAAAAAAGAAGAGTAATAGACTAAAAAAGGTTTCAGACTGGAGAGATGGCCAGTAGTTAAGAGTGCTTGTTGCTCTTGTAGAGAGAGGACCTGGGTTCTGTTCCCAGCATCCACATGGTGGCTCACCATGTTACATCTGTAACTCCAGTTTCAGGAGATCTGGCATCCTCTTTTGACTTCTGTGGCCACTATGCACACATGTACTGCACACACATACACTCAGGCAAAACACTCAATACACCGAAGACAAAATGTGTGTAGTGTGTGGGGGTCAGAGGGCAACTTTGTTAACTCGGGTTTTCCTTCTACTTTACGTGTGTCCTTGGAATGAAACTCAAGCAAGCTGTCAGGCTTGTGTGACACATACTTTCACCCAATGAGCCATCTTCCTTGGCCACTCCCCTCTAAACAATATATTGTTTAATGCCATACATACCCAGTCTACATAAAAACATCTAAACAGATGGGATAACACTATAGATCCCCCCGAGGGGGACTCATGGATCAGTTTGGTACAAGCAAAGGGTCCACAACTACATTAGGTTTTGAAGATGCCCCCACGGTACTGACGTTTTAGGTTACTGAAATGATACTGTAGTGAACTGCTGTTTGATGATGAGAACCCATCAGAGGATGATCCCAGAGCCAGGGGAAATTTAAACTGTCTCAACGTCTTCCTATTTTTGTGAAAATATCCTTTTAACATCTCTCTCTGCTTGCACTTCAGAATTATTCAAAGAAAATGACATCCTTCGGTAGCTACATTTTAAATGTGCAAAATGGCTCACAGATTCTTGACAGAAATTTCTCCTAGCAGCTACATGTTGTGGTAGGAGGCTGAGCCAGCCTGGGCTACATAGCAAGATCCTATCTCATACAACAACAATGAAAACTTTTCGTAGGGGGGAGAACACATCTCTCTCACTCAGAGCCCAGGCTGGGGCTGGTAGTGTGAAGAATAACAAGCTTCGTTGATGTTGGTCAGAAGTGGCCACTCTCTATAAAGAACTGGGACAGTATGGGGTCACCTCTTCTTTAAAAATATATCTAGGCATCACTCTGAGGTCATACAAGCTCCACAAAATTATCTCGGACAAGTCAGTGCTTGGAGAGAATGGTGGGTGCTGTACACTTGGTATTTGAAGTGTCTACTGAGTAGGTCATTAGTTAAAAAAAAATCCTATCACGAACTGGTTCCACCCCTCTCTGGCTTTGATCTAAGTTCACAATGCAGGGGGTGCTTCGGAACTCTGTAAGGATGGGTGATTAATTTTTAAAAACACCACAGGCCTCCCTGTCCTCCCCACACCCTACCTTATACAGAGACACGCAGTCAACAATTGTACCAAACAATGGGCCTTTGTCTCTGATCTTAGCCATTTTTAAAGACACTTTAATTAACAACTTAATTTAACTGTGCATTTTGGGCTGTAGATATTGCTATTTTTTTCTTCCAAACTGAGCATGAACTGCAAAAATACTCCATGAGTGCAAATGTATCTACTACCGCCCCCTGTACCAAATCAAGTTCTGTAGGTGGCTACTCTTTCCCAAGTATCCACCCCCCACACACCAAGGAACTTCCCTAGCTCCATGCTACTCATTCTATCCCCCATCTCTGAATTTTGGTTATTGGTGGTGCAGCTAACTGCTGCCATTTACAATTAGGATTAAATGAAGACTAAGACGCCAGTCTGGAGGGGATTTTCTTAAGATAGGACAGGCAGGCATACACAGAGGAGCTCTGCCTACACTTTAGAAAATGCCGTTAGAAAGTAGAACCTGCACTGGGTACCAGGTTTCAGAGCTGGGAAGGATTTCAGTGCTCCAATCCAGGAGCCACTGCTATGGCTCTGACGAGAAGGGAATGCAGAACCCAAAATACAGTCCTATTTTAACGATTCACATTTTAATCTCATACAAAAATAAGTCCCTAATCAACACTTTTTTTCTTTCCGTTTAGTGTAATGTCTTCCTAACCCTTCCTAATTTATATGGCCATACTGGGCTTGAGCTTGTGGATTTGATCAATGTTTTATTTTGGCATTATGCAGAATAGAAAATGCAAACATTAAAGAAATGTTCTTGATGATTACTATTAAAAAAAAAGTCTGCAATTAGTGTATCCATTTTGGAAGGGGAGGCCAGGAAATATAAATTTAGTGTCTGTGAAGGGTGTTCAGTGCTATTCCCTCAGCGAGGGGCACAGACTGCAGCCTTAGCCAGCCTGGGTACCAGGTCACCTTGAGCGAGTCCCCGGGTGTCTCTGCAAAATGCACACTGTCGCACCTGCCTCCCTTGCTCATCATAAAGATTCAATGACAGTAATGTAGAGAAGGTCCTGGAACAGAGCTGGTATGCCCACACCTCCTCAAGTTGGTGAGGGGATCTAAAACAAGGGCCAGGAGTAGGAGGCCACTTTCTTTTCTGAGTTCTTACTTCTTAAAAAACAACAAAACCCCACCTTATTTACTGTTATTGCGTGTGCATGTTCATGTGTTGAACATCACAGTGCAGGTGTGGCGGTCCGAGGGCAACCTTGTAGAGTAGGTCTGTCCTTCCACCTCCACTTGGGTCCTAGGGGTCAAACTCAGGTCTCCAGGCTTGCATGGTAAACACACTTATCCGATGAACCATCTTACTGGTCCCTGGAAGTACATTTCTCTACAGGAGAACGGCTAGCTGATGCCTTGGGATCTGAACCTCCTTAAACATGTCCTTTCATTGCCTCAGGCCTGGGTTTCCTCATCTAGACTCCAGTAACCCTGTAGGGTCCTGAGGATCTTTTGAGGTGATCCCCATAAGGAGACGAGCAGAGGCTGAACAGTAAGAGTTCCTCGGCACTGGCTACTGCGGGCACCAGCTCCACTATCACACGGCCATCCTGATTACGGAGATCATCCAAGTGGCCGAGGACAGTCAGGTCTCACATGGAGACCTGAGGAGGAAGGTCTGAGTTCTATGTTCCCCTTTGAGAAAAGGGCAAAGAAGGTGAACCAAGGCCTCTCTCTCCCAGCTCCTCATCCTGCCACACTGGGCTAAACCCAGTGTTGCTGACATGCGCTCTGCCTTCATGATGTTTTAGCTTCCCATCCAACAGCTGGTAGGGAGGGGGCTGGGCAGAGAGAGGCTTTCCCACAGAAGGAAGCAGAGGGAGGGGATGCGCCAAGCAGTCTCTACCAGCTGCTTACCTGAAGAGCAGGAAGGAGCAGTAAGATGACCATGCAAATGCGTTTCATGGGGATGGCTTATACTTAGGGAAGCCTGAGTCTTAGCTCTTGTTAGGAAAACTTAACTTTTTATGTGGGTACAGCTGGACCAGACATGGCTCCTCAGCAACCAGGAGCTTGCCCAGAGAAGCGGCTGGCTCAGCGCTATGGAGGAGACAGTGCATTGGACATGCACTGTGTGTAACACTCAGTAACACAATGTGTCTGCAACAACTTGGAATATTAGGTCTTAAAGACTCTAGAAATGTCTTAGATTGGCTCAAACTTCTGCTCTCTAGGACTCCCCTCGCTCTCCTTCCCCTGCCAAGAAATGGCATTGGCGGAGTAAGTCTATGATCGGCAGTCAGCCCTGGCATAAGAAAACCATTTTTTTTTTTTTGATGGTTCTAGTTGGTAAAAAAGTTCTGTTGCGTTGGAGTCTGGCTTTCTTGAAATTCCTATATCTCAGTCTTGGCTTCTAGAGTGTTCAAAACATGTCTTGCCTACCACTTCCTAAATAAACGAAGATGGCCCTGCACCTGCCTCCATGCCCACTCCCTTTGGCTTCTCTATCCACCTCTTCTGTGGATATATTCTTCAGATCCTTAACTGTGCAGATAAACTCATTTATTTTTCTTAACTATTAGTATTATTGTGTGTGTGTGCAGAAACACACAACAAAGCACACATGGTGTTCAGAGGACCACCTGTGGGACTCAGTTCCCTCCTTCCACCATGTGTGTCTAGGTTCAAACCCAGATCACCAAACTTGGAGGCAAGCATCTTTCCTTGCTGAGCCATCATGCCGGCCCAGGACACCATATTTAGAAGGTGAAATTGGTGACTCTCCCTTCAAGAGTCTGCACACACTTGAGTATGTTTTGCTTTTTGTGATTCTTCTTTGAGAAGCCCACATCGTGTCTTACTTTCTCCCAAACATCTCTCTTAACCCCTGTGAGGAAGCTTGTATTAAAGTACCTTCAACGTTGCTTCATAAAAACAAAGCTAACATGAAAGCTGGAATACAGAAGGTATTGGGAATAAGTTGTGTATTTGCCCACTGAGAGCAAAGCTTGAGCCATAGCGCTGTGTGCCTAACTTAGCAAA